CTGAGTTTTCATTGGCTCCTTGTGTTCTCGTGATATTTTCCTAAGTTCTGATTGGCTGCTGCGATTACTTTAGTTTTGGTTTTACATCTAATTTAAAACAGAATAGGATTAATCTACTATCCGCGTTGGGTTGAAGCAACAGGGAGATCTTCTCGCATAAAATAAAAAACAGCCTAAAGTATTGCGCTCGACGTCTCGAAAATTAGAGATAATTCATCCTACGAAGACTTCTGTTCGTGTGTTTGTTTTCTTTCTTTTTTAGGACACTCTGTTATCCTAGGTATGAGTGTACCAACCTCTCAGGAAGGTGCATGTTGATAGCATCTTGTGATGACCACACCCAGTTATCTTCAGGGACATTTGGAATCTGTACAAAGAGAAACGTAAATTGCAAATTAAATGGTATCCCATGTTTCGGTTGTTTTTGCTGAAGGTGTATCCATTATTAAAGATAATTCTGAAGATATATGATCAATCCATTATTTTTCTTACTTTAGAGTCACTATCAATGATTGATCATGAGATTTTAGTTAGTATACTGTTGGTCTTTGTTAGGGGCAATATCACTGTGATATCACAACACTGTACTAAGTGAAGAAGAACACCAACCTTTTCATAATGTCCACTGACATCCCTTACATGCCATTCAACCCTAAAAGAAAAATCACAGAGTGTCATTTACCAATTAAGTGTCTTGCCTGAAAACACAGGAGTACACCCCTGACAACAACCTGCTAAAGTTAATCCTCCATTGATCTTTATTCCTTGGTGGAGCTGATGCTGTAGGACTGTGATCCACAAGGTTGCTGAAGGGAAGAGCTAACTCAACAGTCCAGAATTTATCTTAAATGTAAGACATGAAGATATAAAAAGAACACAAGAAATCACATTAGCTGATACGTCAACAAAAAATAAGACAGTTCCCGAATAAATGCGGAAAGTAATGCAAGATTGCATTGGTTTTGATAACCCTTTGACTCTAAGAGTGTCTAACATCTAATTTCTCCTTACAATATCACCCCTGAATCAAACATGTAGGCCACGAGATTAAAGGGAATGATCACTAACTGAAGAGGAATTTGATCATTAAAACAAATTCAATGTTCGTCCCTCTTTTTCAGAACAAATTTCAAGGACTTTTCCAGGACTTGAATTGATTTTTCCAGGACTCCAAATTTCATCTTAAATCCTCTCATTCCCCACGATTTCAAGATCAATTCCCCTTACAGTCTTCATAAATTTATTAAAACGTTGATTCTGGAAACTTTATTGCTTCATTTAGGCAGATTTCCAGGACTTTCTAGGACTTTCCAGTCCTGGTAAATGTCAAAATAAAGTCTCACGACTTTCCAGGTTTCCCAGGACCCTTACGGACCCTGAAATTCTTTTCAGCACCTTAAGGAACATATGGAGATCAGTATGGAGAATACACAAACTGAGGTTAGGGTGTAAAGTGTTAAACAAAGCTCTGTGATTGGTCTAAAAACTCACTAAAACCTCTCAACCAATCAATGCAAAGCTGAAATCATTATCATCATTTGGTCAATGGCAGCTCTGAAAAGAAGACTACGGCCAGAAATAGATTACAGTTAATTAATAATTACACCTCTGACACATCATAATATATCTTAAATCACCTTTAACCGAAGGATCGTCGACAGGTCCTGAGACATAAATAGCACTTTTCATATTTGGCATCTCCCAACTGCTATTTGGTGTCCCACCATTCAGGTATGGCTGCAAAGAAATTTATACATTAACATAAGACTGTTCTATGTCTAGTTTTTATCAATCTATTGAGTAATACAGTTTTTTAGCCACCAAACATTTCCCATAGTAAGCAAACCCTTTACCTCCCAAATTAAAGGGAACAAAGGTAAAAGTGGTCTATACAATGTATGTATACATTTTCTTTTCTTCGTATATACATATAATATATATATATATACAATGTACGTTTTAATTCCTACAATTTGACAAGTGTAATGTGCTTTTGATCATTACATGTCAAAAAGTGCACTATAAATTAATTACTATTATTATTAGTTATTATGCATTATTTCACAGACAAGAGATGAGAATTTGATGATTTATGAACCAGAGGTATTGAAACAGCCCTCAATTCATTTTCAATCCCATGTTTTATTAGATCCTATCAACTATGCTCAGCACACTGTTCAAAAACAATACCATATGAGAAATCCTTTCATGCAAGTGTCCTAATGGACATCCCTAATGTTGAAAATTGCCATTATAATATTACTAATGATCCATAATGTTCTATTCCCTTGATGTGTGTCTACTTAAATGAAAATTATCCGAGACATAAACTTAAGGCAAAAATAACAATTGATAAAAACACACATGAGCTAAGGTTTGACCTTAGCAGTGTTGAATGACAAAACCTTGGCAGAGACTGGGCCTTAAGTGCACAGGAAATCCAACATTTACAAGCATTATGTTAATGCGGCATACATATTGGAACTGAACTATTGGTTTCCTTTCTACCTGTTTTTAACTCTCATTGTAAAATAATCCTGGCTAAAATACCTTGTTCAATTCAAGATCCCAGGTTGTGTTTATGGCATTTATTTCAAATTCTTTGTACCTGACAGAAAACAATAATGGCTTGTTAACAAGCAAACTGTAAGCATTACTTATAAAAAATTTTTTAATTCTTAAAGTGAGAATTTAATAATTACAATTAACACATGTTGGAAACACTGCATCCTTACCAAAAACAATATGTATTAAAAAAAAAAATACCAGACAAGGGTAAGAAGAGTTGAGAAAATTTTTACCCGAATTGACCTTTCAAAGTGCTTTGTTTCCTTTTCAGTTTTATACTGAAAACAAGTATCATGAACTTTCAAACTTACCAATGAGTGTCCCCATCTGGGTCCATGAAGACCTGAGAATATTTACAAGTGAACAAATACAGACATGTCTCCTTTAAATCTTTCTGTATTGCTAAGTTACAAGTAAAGGTGAGTAAATTTTGGAATATTTAACTATGAAATTCACTGAAAATCTTACCTCAAAGTCATTATCAAGAAACACTGCAAATGAATAAAAGATATACACTTCATTGATTGCATTGCTGACTATACTGGTATTGTTTATAATGGTGGTTTATCATCAAAACTGGTAACCAGTATAAAACAACAGAAAATACTTTTTCCACTAGGGATGTGATTAAACCACAACATATCTACATACCTCTTACTAACCGAGTTTGAGGTCTGTAATGTAAGTAACCAACCCAGTTTTTTCTGCTCAGATTTATAGCCCAAGTGCAAAGTAAGCAGGCCTAATAAATCTGGGCAGAAAAAATGAGATTCCACAATTTACACCACAGACCAAGAAAATAGGGCTAGTAAATAACAATATCTCTTATATCTGTGAGTTCAAATAGAGGGAGATGTCAATTCAAACAAACTTTTGAATTTAGGGGGCTGTACAGTGAGATACAGCCTGCTATATTGACCAATCCTAATGCTCCTCTTCACTGAGTTGTAATATTAAATAAGATTATTCTTTCAACGTGTACGCAGAATCAATTTGAGTGTGGTACCAAAATGTTCCAATGATTTAACATTTCCTGATATTTACCTACAGAATCATGTTTCGTTTGATTTGCCCAGACATCAGTCTCCTGAAGAAATGCTCCAATGTACAAATACTTGTCATCCCACCTCATTTTGGCATGTGTTCTGAAGCGAGGTTTTTTCCAATCTGCTCCCTGAATATCTATTATGCAAATTACATAAAAACAGAGCTTTCAGTTCTCATGTACATGTTAGCACTGTGTTTTCTCTAATTTCCTCATTCTAGGTTCACTACATTAATCTCATGTTCCTCTCTAGCTCCCTGGCATAGATGTCTATCCCTATAATGGAATTAAATTTCCAAACTCAGTCATTAATATTAAAGTTCTATCTCTGCCTTAAGATCGCAATTTGACGAACAACTCTGTGAAAAAACCTGTAAGCTGACAGTCCATGGACTTTTGGGAAGCTATCAACTGAGATTTCAGACTTTTTGTTGCCATTAATTCAATCTCTGATATATTTTGCCAATTCGTAACCTGTCAGTAGCATGTCAGTGGCCTTTTAATTATCTGTCAGACAACTGTCTCCTGACTGACTTTTTCAGGGAGTTGTTCTACACCATCACCGTAAGATCGGCTGTTTTCACTTTGCACAAGGTTAGAGTAGTTATGCTCATTAATCAAATCCAGCAGATACTTTGAACCTCAAGCATGCAGTACTAGTTTTATGCCTAGACTGTCACATGACCGAGTTCATAACTATTGGGATGATCTTTAACAATACTCGAATGCGACATTTCTTAACCAGAAGGACATTAATGCGCGTTACGCAGTCTGTGTGTAAATTCAATACTGCCTTGTCTACCTAGACTGCACTTTACAAACTCAGATCTAGCCGTAGAACGATTTCAGCTGGACAAGTTGCGACAAATTCCACGGTCTTCATTTTATGTCAAACCGACGGAAACATCAACTTAAAAGAAATATATATTCTAATCACCAATAAAATCCTCTGTCCAGGATACAAGTGCCCACGCCTTATCGTCCAGTTTTCCATCAATATCAATAGTTTCTTGCTCGCCAAGGTGATAGACCACGTAACTACGCGGAAACGGAAGAATACATTCCGATGGATAAGAGAGAGTGCTTCCGAACTGACATAACTCCAACACAGACCACAGAAAAAACTGACAGTAAAACAATTCCATCACTCTATTTTCTGCTCATCGACTTCCTTGATCTCGAACAATATTCTGCTCCGCATCAATTTTAAGACTAATCTCTCTCTATGGTACTAGTGGTAAGGGCTCTGCTCCGTAATTGTGAGCCAGCGATCTTTGCTCAGTGGAAATAGCATTGGTAAAAATAAGTATTGTGTTACTATCAACAAAGTATTTCAGATGATTAGCAACCAGGGCGTTTGACAGAAAGTAAAAGGCTCGGTCGCGCACGTTCTTCGTTGTTGTTCAAAGTAGAACGAGACTTGAGTGTTATTGCCAATTTTGCTAAGGAATCTTCCTTTCAGCAATGGAAAATCAGAGAAAAAGGCGGCACGATATTGAAAAGGAGTTATCAGATGACGAGGACTACGTACCTTACGTTCCTTTAAAGGAGAGGAGAAGGATTGAGCTTGAAAAACGAGAGAAATTCTTGAAGAAAAAGACCGAGTCAAGTACAGTAGCGGAGACAGCAAAGAATGTAGCGCCGACGTCTTTGGTGGAGAAAGAAGAAGAGGAAGAAGCGCCCATTGGATTGAAGGCCAATGTGAGCTTGCTGGATCAGCACAGCGAGCTCAAGAAGATAGCGGAAGCCGAGAAAGAAACAGACTACGAAAAACAGCTGAAAGAAGAAGAGAAGATTTTGGACAGCATTGCTGAGAAGAAAGTCTTGATGGCTGTAGGGGAAATTGCTAAAGGAATCGTGTACACTGATTCGATTAAGACTGGATGGCGTCCACCACGGTACTTCAACTCATATCCACCAGAGAAATTTGATAAGATTAGGAAGAAATGGCATATTCTGGTGGAAGGCGAAGACATACCACCTCCCATCAAGACTTTCAAGGAGATGAAATTTCCTCGCGCTGTCCTAAACACACTGAAAAAGAAGGGTATAACACACCCAACACCAATACAGATCCAGGGCATACCTGCAGTTCTCACTGGCAGAGACATGATTGGAATTGCATTCACAGGTTCAGGTAAAACATTGGTGTTCACACTTCCCATTATCATGTTTAGTTTGGAACAGGAGAAAGTTCTTCCATTCCAGAGACAAGAAGGTCCGTATGGGCTTATCGTTGTACCATCTCGAGAATTGGCACGTCAAACATTTGAGGTCATTTCAGAATTCTCAAGAGCCTTGGAACTGGATGGTCTTCCTTCTTTGCGATCTGCACTCTGCATTGGTGGAACCAAAGTCAAGGATCAGATGGAGGTTATCAAAAGAGGAGTTCACATGATGGTGGCTACACCAGGCCGTCTGATGGATTTGCTAGACAAGAAAATGGTTAACCTTGAAGTGTGCAGATATTTGGTTCTCGACGAAGCTGATCGCATGATTGATATGGGGTTTGAAGAAGATGTGAGAACAATCTTCTCTTACTTCAAGTCGCAGCGTCAGACACTGCTCTTCAGTGCTACAATGCCTAAGAAGATTCAGAACTTTGCCAAAAGTGCTCTAGTCAAGCCAGTAACTGTTAACGTAGGAAGAGCAGGGGCAGCCAGTCTTGATGTTATCCAGGAAGTTGAGTATGTGAAGCAAGAAGCTAAAGTGGTTTATCTCTTAGAGTGTTTACAGAAAACTCCTCCTCCTGTGCTAATTTTTGCAGAGAAGAAAGCAGATGTCGATGATATTCATGAATATTTACTACTCAAGGGTGTTGAAGCTGTTGCTATCCATGGCGACAAAGATCAAGAAGAAAGGGAATATGCAATGAGATGTTTTAGACAAGGAAAGAAAGATGTAATGGTTGCAACAGATGTGGCCTCCAAAGGCCTTGACTTTCCTAACATTCAACATGTTATCAACTATGACATGCCTGAAGACATTGAAAACTATGTCCACAGAATAGGTCGTACTGGTCGAAGTGGGAAGACTGGAGTTGCTACCACATTCATCAACAAATCTTGTGATGAATCTGTCTTGTTGGATCTGAAGCATCTGTTATTAGAAGCAAAACAGAAACTACCCCCAGTTCTTGCAGCCCTACAGGCAGAAAACGAAGGCTATCTTGATCTTGGTGAAGAACGTGGCTGTGCATATTGTGGTGGTCTTGGACACAGAATTACAGAATGTCCAAAGCTGGAAGCAATGCAAACCAAACAAGCTGGAAACATTGGAAGAAAGGATTATCTAGCACCTGGTGCTGCAGATTGGTAACTTTAGCCATTGGTGTTCATTTCTACTCCCTCAATGTACATCTAACATGTACATGTATCAGTGTATGTAGGGGTTGTATTACTGCAGAAGGCTGTATACAAAGACAAACAACATTGCAAGATAAATACTGCAGATGGTCTTAAAGTTATTGCATACTTCCTTAAGTTTTATACTGGGCAAGAAATAGTCAGAAAAACTTAAACCTGTTTTACAGGTGAACTAATGAAGCTGAGTCTTAGAGCTTCTCTTGTGAGCATAAATTTGTATATTATGCATCCCTAGTTCCTTTGTTGTTGTGAGAGATAGTATGTTGAACAATGGCCTTACTATTTCTTTAGTGATTACACAATCTAAAATGTTCGGCAAACACATTGGATCACTGCTTCCAAACTATTTGTTGTAAATGAGAGACCATTTAGATCAGCAGATAAAAAAATGGCAATGAAGGCATACTTAAACGTACATACATTATTTCCTCAAATAAGCACCATCGAAGGAATGAGTGCACTTCCCCAAATATGTGCACTGCCACAAATAAGTGCCCTCCCTTGGGCAAGCACACTCCCTCTGGGCCATAAGGCCAAACATGGACATCTCTTGAATTAGTGCTCCTCCCTCGCTTCATTAACAGTACGGATACTTGCAAAACCTGTTGCTATTGCCACTTTGGTTATATTCTTTTTCAAGCTTCAACTATGGCAGGAACAGTTTGAGGGATTTGCTTGGGTTTAAGTATTTATTCCAGAAGGTACATCACTGCATCAATGAATACGTATTAATAGACAATTTGATGTAGATGAAGTTATGAAGTCCTTTTCTCCAGTCATTACCTGTATATGTTACCTTATGTGATTACCAGAGTAAAACATTCTTGATCCAATTAAAACTTCTATATCAGTTTGTATTTTTTGTTTATGAAGTGATTGATTGATTGATTGATATTTTATCCTATTATCATTATGATCAAAATTAGAACTTCGTATTGTCCAATTCTGTCTGTAATCATACTCATGATAAACAATTCAGATCCCCACTTTGTGGTCTTCTCATTTTGTTAAATATCACTCATATGAGTACAGACTGAATTCAACTCCACTCAGTCCAAGTACCATTTTTAATTACAGTAATGTCCACCATGCTGTCAGTTATTTAGACCATGGAGACTATAAAAAGAAAACCATACAAACAGGGAGAGAAATGGGCGGGGTACAGAGGCAGATCCAGGGAGGGGGACTGGACCCCCCAATCAGGCCTGACGCTTACAACTTTGAGACTGAAATTCTTACATCAACAGGATCGTATATCACTTTTTAACTGGCTGATTTTTTTAATTAATGAATCCAAGTAAACAGTCAGCAGCCAAGGAATTGTAACATGCAACCATGACTGGTGTGTGTTGGGAAGAAGTAATTTGCCTCAAAAGAGTCCAACAGTCCTTTCTGAACCAAAGTTTGGATCCCCCAATCAAAACTTCTTGGATCTGCCCCTGAGGTAGGTGGTCAAAAAGGGGGAAATTATGTTAAATATAGAGGCAGTGTGAGGGTTCAGCTGTATTTATAAATGCAACTTAATCTTACTACTGATATTGATCCAAATCATTAATACCACAGACAATATTGAAAGAGGAGAATAGCAAACCTCCAGACACTCAGCACTTACATAGCTATGAAATAATGATACTTTACTGTACTTCAAACAGATTATTTTGAAAAAAATGATAGCCGTCTAAGTAGATATTGCGCCCGCGATTTCTGGTCACTGGAAGAATTCTAGTGCCAGTGCCCAACAAACACGTGTTTTTGACGCCTGGTTGTTTTTGTTCTCAAAGACTTTGTTTCTCCTACACAAGCTGTGTTTACTTACGTTCGAATACACCAAGAAAGATAAAAATTTTTTATACCGTGGCGAATTCCTAGGTCTCTACACTGAGGATGGCTACAATTGTTAACCAGGTACTGAAAGGATGAAACCATCGAAGGAATACTTAGTTAAGCGATTCCCCTTTCATGGATTCCACCGCACTCCTTGAACCAAATCACACGAATAGCAAATGAAACGAAAGGTTTTCCATAAGTGAAAACGTTACCGGGAAAATTTGCATTGGTATAAGCCAACCTAGGGAACTTCTGTGAAGAAAACCTCGATCAGGCAACTTCGAACCGCCCAATGCATTTCAGATTATGTAATTTTACTCGGCGTAATTGGACTGAATTGATTTTTTTTTTTTTTTTGTGATTACTTTGCTGTTAGATTGAGGAACTTGAAAATGATATAAAAGGTTGTGAAGATGAACTGGACATGATTGATAGAAGACTTCGCTTAAAGAAATTGTCAGATAGTGAAAGGTACTTAACACTTGAATCTAATAATAGAGATACATCTTGAATTTATCCTAGTACCGTCTGTTTTGTTAGATTCACTTTTTCAGGAAGAAAAACGTAAGTTAATCTTTTCTGTTATGCAAAGCTGGAAAATATTTTCAGTGAGTAAGATTTCCTACTTAATTTGCAATATGGGTGTTAAGCTGAATTGATTTAGTATTTCTGTTGAATTTATGGGAAATTTTATCTTGATCACGGAGTAGAGATTTCAGCTGGATCTGGTTACGTAGAATATGACCCAGATTTCTTACTGAGATCAACAATATGAAACTTTTCAAGATTTACAGTAGTTGGGCTAGTCGGATGTCTCATTTGGGCATGATATTATTGGGATTTTGTTATCAATGGAAAGATTGGTAGATTGAGTTCTCGGGAACTATGCCAGCCTCAAAAGTTTACTGAACTCATAAAATCATTTTCACTCCTTTTGTCAGAAAAAAAAAATTATTTCATTTTATTATTCTCATTATTCTATTGTAACACATTCCCAAAAATATAAAGAAGATTGGTCATTACCAAAATTGATATATTTCATCCCCCCCAAAGAAGGCAATAATTACTAAATTTTGAATTTTTAATGCATTTGACAATTTAGAGATGGGTTGATAGACAGACAAGAGCAGGTACAGGAGAAACTTAAAGAACACGGTAAGAACAGTTGAAAAAGTTGTGATTGAAATGTCTTCAACGCATCAATATTTGCTTAAAATATACTAAGTCATAAAAGACTTTCAAAACCATATTACTCTATTATAGTTGAGGTACCCAACTTATTTCTCCCTGAAGAGAAAGGGAGTGAAAAATTAATGATTTAAAGAGGGATAGCCAACTCAGCTTTCTTCACCCCATGATATTTTAAAATATCAATATCAACTGTTAAAACAATTACTATAATTTCCAGCCATTTACCCACATGGCCGATTACCCACACCGGCCGATTATTGCATGCGGTGAAAAAAAAATTCAACAGATAACCTGCACTGGTGGATAACCCGCACCTTAAAAGCAAAGGAAATTTGTGCAGAAAGGCTCAAGAATTCACAACATTTCATTCTTGACAGAATGCGAATTCGTGGCCACATTTTGTGCAAGCGATTGTTCAGCGCCAAGTTGATTTGTTGATTTCTCAAAAAAATCGATATCTCCGGTTCTACTGGGCCTAACAAGTCCCTTAAAACAAGAAAATTCTCTTCAGCTCAAGTTAGTGTTAACTGAAAATTTGTTACAGATGTGCCGGTTATCCTTGGATTATTTAATATGTAACCATCAAGGTTTTGTTTACAGGTGTGCCGATAAAAATTTGTTCACCATGTAACTAATTGTGCGGGAAATAAACTCAAGTCAGCGTCATATTTCTGTGCCACTTTGTGGCACTCTTAATACAATAAAATTCATCTGAGAGGTGGAAACGCAGGTAGGTGAACTTCTTTTCAATTCAACAGCCAGTAGATTTCAAAATAATTGTCACATAACCCACACCTCCCTATTACCGACAGTAGCCGGTGTTTAAGGCAAAATCAACAGATTACCCAGTTAAAAAAATGGGGTAATCTGGAAATTACGGTATTCACCAAAGTGGAGGTGAATAGTGGTGGATATTTACCAAGCCACCAAGCAGGGAGGTAAATATCCACCTCTTTCACCAACACTGAGGGGAATAATTGTTTTAGTATATACCACACAGGTACCAAAAACTTAGTTTATTTCTTTTAACATACCCAAAAATGGCCAGAAATTAAACTCTTGACATATGATTTTGTGTCATCAGTTGCTCAATGCTTAAGAGTACTTGCTATTCAATTCAGAACAAGCCAATCAGCTCTTACAAAAAGCACTATCCACTTCTCTGGTATCTACTACCAAATGAATATACCTTCACCAATAATAAATACTTTACTCCTGATGTTGTTTCTTTGCATTTTATTCACAGAGAAATCTTTGGGAACTCTACGAAAAGAAAACAGAAAGTCCATGGCTGTGTCTGTAGCAATTCTAGGACTTTTGTTTTTGGGATATCTGTTTTTTTTTAGCTGATTGTAATTTTGTCTTTGATAGTATTATTGTACAGAGATCTCTAAATAAAAACAATTGAAAAACACCATTTGGTGTAAAAATCATTCAGGCCAATATTTCCACTGAAACAATCCTTTTAAACAGTGATTGTCACCTTGGGCCTAAACTCAAATGATTTTTCCTATCAGCCCATTACACCCTTACATCAGTGTGTATTTTCTCCAATCTGTTCTCTATACATTTCTTAAAGTGCTGAAAAAGAAAATAATTGGTCCCACAATCAAAGCCTCTTAGGTTTGGAATCTTGATCTTAATGAATGACTCAGCAGTATTATCATAATGAGAAATTAGATGCTGGTCACTCTTAGCTTAAACATCTGGTATCTCAGGGTAGAGTTGGATTAGTCCATAATGCTCGAGTTTTTTTCTAGAAGAATAAATAGGCATCTTAAAAAATTCCCAACATCTATTGTATGATTTGTTATTTTTCGTTTAGGTTAGCTTGATTTAAAAATAAAGGGTCATAGTCCCATGGGTAATCTCTTCTTTTACCACCACTTTTTAATTTTTATTTTTTCAAGAACTATGTGCATAATGAACTGGTGGGCAAACATCTGTTGTCAAAGGCCCACACCCCAAAAGGTAGGTTCAGATTCAAAGACCAGTACAAAATCAAAATGTGGCCATCTCTGGTAAATAGATGAGAGAGTCGTGTTAATGAACCTGTCAAAAAATGCAGTAAAGGATGTCCACAATTTTTTTAAAAACTATTTTATTTTTAACAGTTCTGTCCACAATTGAATTATGAGGCAAATGGACATGTTACACTTGTCATGGGTTAGAACTGACTTATCTAAAAACTCTTTTTGTCACAAGGGTTCTGTAGTTTTTAATACCCGGTAAGCTAAATTTTTAATGTTTTAATACTTTATTCATTTTCACTGTAACTATATAGCTCATATTTTAAGATTAACTTAACTTTTCTTAGCATTTACTTGTAGAAGTAGTATTTTTAATTAGTATAATTGTGTAGTTTTTATTGCCATTTTTTATCGTTTTAATTTCTATTAGGGCCCCAACTGATAGCAGTGCTTATTGGCATCTGAATGGGCTACCCTGAATAAGTAACGGTCTCTCCCTACTCCTCAACAGAGTCTGTCCTCAGGAAGCGTTGT